AGGGAGGGGGGGCAGGGTGGGGGTGGGTGGGCACAGCAGCTGGGGCACACCGGACCTCTTGCGAGGCTCAGGCACAAGCTGGGGAAGTCCTGCCTGCCAACCATGCCGGCCTCTGTGCTGCTACGGGAGGTAAGACAGTGGCTTTTTTTGGTATGGACAGAGCACGCTTCCCTTTGATCTCAAATCTACAATTAAAAGAACATTTAGAATTTCAATAGAGACAGTGTATATTCTATATCCTTTGAACAAAAAATACTTAGAACAGAGACTGAGTTGAATAGAAATGGCTCTATTTATGTGAAAAGTAGCACACTGCCAAGAGGTTCTGGAAATCCTTAGAATGGAGAGTAGAAATATATAAAGTATATAAACACTTAAGCACTCACAATGGCAGCAGACTTCAGAGTCTTCTTAATTCTAGTTTCATAAAACTAAATTTTAAAACAGTTTTATTTAAATCATAACTACTACACTGAAGAGTGATTTCTACATCCATGAAGTGAATGTATTTCATCCTTAAATTAAATACAGAAGCTTTTGCTGAAAGGATGACAAATCACTATTTAAACTGTAAGTGTATACATACCACAGTACGCTATTCTTAAAGAAACTATTGCACTGTACTTTGCAAAAAAATAGGCTTTCTTAAAAGCTATTGTTTCATTGAGGCATAACTGAACACAATACTATTTGTTACAGACTGAAAAAGACAGAAAACTTGATTAACAAAAATATTTCTGTAGAAAACCTAAGTGAACCTATAGTCACATTTTTAGAAACAATAAAATTGCACAGCTATATTAATACAATATGTTAAAATCAATTGTATGCCTATATGCCACCAATGAGCTGAAAAAATTAATTTTAAAAAAGGAACAACTTATAGCAATATACAATATAAAGTTTTTTGAAATTAATCTTATATGAGAGATATACCATATTTATGGAGAAAACTTTTTAATTATTGAGCAATTAAAAGTTCAAAGTAAGTAGAGATAAACTATAAACTGTGTAAACAGAAAATATGCAATTTCATACAGAAATTTTCTTCCCTAATTGTTCTATTCTCCCCAAATTACTCTGTAAATCAAACAGAATGCCACTAAAAATTACAATGGACTAGCATCTGATATGTGTTGAGCTAATGCTAAAATTTATGAAGAAGACCACAAAGCCAAAGACAGCCCAGACAATTATGAAGAGCGAGGTCAGGAGACTGAACCAACCACATTTCCACATTCATTACGAGGCCACGGTCACTGAGGCGGTGCGGTGTTGGTGCGGGAGGGATGAGGGCAGGGGAGCAGCCTAGAGATCCAAGAGACACACTATGAACAGGAGAACTTAACGGTTCCCTGCGCGTCACTGGCGAAAGGGGGACAAATGGTGCTGGGGCAGCTGGTTATCAGAAGGGAAAACAAAACTCTATGGACCTCTAACTCGTGACATACACTCAGATTGATTTCAAGTGAAAGAAACGGCCTACAAATAAAACATACAACTAAAGTGTCAGAACATCTTTATGACCATGGGGAGCAGAATGAGGTCTTAAGATATAGGAGACCATTCTGCGTGGCGTGGGCCCAGCTCCCACTTGGAGATGCACAGGACCCACGCCCACGGATAGGTTCTCCCGTGGGGAATCAGGCCTGCAATGTACCTAGGCTGCTTTGAGACTTGCTTTTTGCTAAAACTCCCTCACCCTGAGTTGAGGCAGCAAGTGCTTACTGTAACTCCCTAAAGTCTGTACCAAACCTCCCAAGGATGAGCGTAACCAGTTCAGCCACTTTTCCCTTTGCATTTGCAAGTATCCTTCTTCTGTGATGTGATTAGCAGCATCCTCTCCTTTGTTTTCTGTAAAGGGTAACCACCTAAAGAGAACCTGTGCCTAGTACATGAGGACCATCACGTAATGTGAGCAGAAAAGCAATAAAAGCTGGTCGAGGAAAGGGAGGAGGCTTTTTCCTCCTCTTGAGAGAGAAGCCATGCCGCCCCCCTTTCCTCCACAGGACTCGGTAGTCCTTGTGAATTTCTCTATCTCATCCACAATGTTGCGGACCTCACGGGCTGGGGTCTGCATCATTAAGACTAGAAAATTACAAATCTTACAGAAAAAGATGCATAAATGTGACTACCTTTAACTTACCATGATCTCTGTGATATGAAAATGCCCCATGCACAAAGTCAAACTGCAGTCAGGAAGATGATAATTACAGTCTGGAGAGCTTCTAACAAGTAGTAAGGAATAAACCAAACTAGCCCCGTGGCTAATGGGCACGAGAAAGTGTCAATCCACTGACGAGGAAACCCGCACGGCGATACGATAACTACAGAAGGATGTTCCCCCCGCCCCCACCCCCACCCAGCAGAGTCCACAGAGAAAGGTCATGGCCACTGACCAGGCCAGCAAAGACGACCAAACAAGACAGGACCAAGAGCCGCACAAGGACACGGAGCACGGGAACCTCGTTCATTCCCAGGATGGGCGTACGTTGGAACAACCAGTGTCCGAGCGATAAGGGACGCCACCTGAAGGTGGGGTGCACTTAGCCAGGGTGTGGTTACTTTATTGCCGGCTATGTCGGGCCTGGGGACACTCCTGAACCAGGCCTGTGTGGCAGAGAGTTCACAGTGGGCTGTTATGAAATAAAACCCATAAAGATTCACTCGGTGATGGATGCATAGGCGTCTGCTGCACTTCTTTATGGAGATGGGATGGGAGATACGGCAAATTAAGCTGGGTGAACCAGATCGATTCCAGGACGCCTGGCACCCTGTTTCAGAGTAGGAGTAGACTGAGGGGCTGAGCCGGGAGACCACCAGCGGAGGGGCCTCTGACAGGCGAGTCCTTGCAAGGCCTGGCGCACTCCCCTTGGCCCAGACGGTGGCAGCCCCTGACCGTGTCACCGCATCTCCCCTCTCCGCCAGGCTCGGCCCCAGCCTGTCACTTGGTGGGTGTGACGGACACGATGACACTGACCTCAGGGCTCTGCTGCCAGACAGTGGCAGCAGGTGACAGGGGCTGTTCCAAGTAAGGACTTGTTCTCTCTAAGTCGACATGATGTCATTTCACAGTTACTTTTATTCCTTTTTGTGAGGTCATGCCACCCATCAGAGATCCCATTGATTATCACTTTTGTCACAGCTAATTCATGAAACACTGTGTCTCAACTCCATTGCTTTGAACACTTTGTGAAGTTGTTACTTCCTTTCATAAAGTTGTAGAGAAAAAAAGTAATTATTCGAAAAGTCAAAGCAATCTGTAAACACATGAACAGCAACAGTGTGGCTCTTCGGCGGGGCCAGACAGCACCCCAGGCGGGGAGGTTAAAGGCCCTGCCTGCATCCTGCCCACGGCCGCCTTCCCAGAATAAACTCCATTGTACAGAATCAGAGGGTGTGCTGACCGCGGGGTGCAGAGGCTCAGAGGACGTTCTGCAGAGCCTGGGAGACTGAGGCTGACCCTCAGTCTCCCCGGTCCCCATAGAATACAGGAGGCTGAGGCTACCACCCGCAGGGCCAAGCCTGACTGCCCTGCCCTTGGTGCTGCTCCCACCTCAGTGTCAGCAGTGAAAAGTGAGGTCAGTGCCGACCCAGGAGGGTGTCCACCACTGCACAGAGGGGTCCTCGGAAAGACCAGGAGCTCTAAAGTACCACTGGTTTGGGTTGGAACGTTTCCCAAAAGCTTCTGTATATAGTGAGCTCACGTCTTGTCCCCCTAACTGGCTCGTCCCCCTAACTGGCTCGTCCCCTAACCCACTCTGGGCCCGACCCGTGTGTCAGAGAACCGGAGACTGGTTCTCGTGACCTTTACATTCAGATGAGTTCTCCAGACCCTTGCTTCGAAATATCTAGTTTCTTCCCAATTGCTCCAGCAGTGGCTCGTACAGAGTTCTTTTAAAGTACCTTTTTATCTTCAAGTTATTTATTTCTTGAAATACTTATCTCCTGCAGGAACCTGAAAGCTTTGCATGTTATCAAAGAATGGCGTGGTCCCGTAGTGGGCTTTTTACAGCCTCAGAGGCACAGGTCAGCCAGGAGACAATCGGTCCCTCTGACACTCCAGGAGAGCCCTCTGTTACATTACCGTGACTCTTAGAGAGGCTCCAGCTGGCTCACAAGGCCTGACGGTTCTTTCAGAATCGGCATTGTTGCATGGACAGATCCACACCCTGTTTTGTACTTTCCAAACCAGACGCTTTGAGCATGACTAGGACTGAATACAGTTGATAGGCACTAAGAAAACATTTTAAAATTCACGGAGAGCAGCTCATCCCATAAAACCTCCGAGGTCTGCCGCGAGAAGAACACGTTCCGTGAGGAAGAGCAGCCACCCCTCTGGGAAATCCAAGCAGGCTCCAAGCACACAGAGCTGAGGACGGCTGGGCAGGGGGTTCTGGGTACGACACCAAAGTGCAATCGACAAAAGGAAAAGTGGACTGTGTCAAAATTAAATGAATTGACTTTGGCCACTGACCGTTCAGAAAAATCAAGAGATAAGCCAAAGATTCTGAGAAAATCCTTGCCAGTCATACATCTAATAAAGGACTTGTATCGGGAATATATACACAGGAATCTTACAGCTCAGCCTAGAAAGAGAAATAACGCAACTAAAACATGAGCCAGGGGTCTGCACAGACGCTTCTCCAAGGAAGACACACCAATGGTCCATAAACGCACGGAAGGGTGTTCAATGCCATCACTTACCAGGAAAAATCAAACAAAACCCACAGTGAGGGGGCACTGCACGCCCGCTGAGATGCGCATCGGAAAAGCAGGCAGTAACAAGCGTTGGTGAAGACACGGAGCAGCCGGAACTGTTGCAGGAACGTGAAAGGATGCAGCCACTTTGGAACACGCCCGGCAGCTCCACGACGGGCCGCACAGACCCTCACCAAGCGGAGCGGCGCTCCCACTCCTGGGTGTGCCGCCGAGGCCGTTTCCCAGGAAAGGAAAGAAGGGAGGAGAGAGAACCTCGCTTGCGCGAGGGCTTTACTCACTGAGGTTCCACTTCAGGCCCGTGGTCGTGACCCGATGGCAGGGCTGTCCCACGGGGATGAGGCCACACCAGTCACCTTCCAGCCCGGTGTCGACGCGCAGCCTGTGCTTGCCCTGAGGTGGAGAAGGAAGGTTCGGTAAGACGGGGACAAAGGGGGGACGCGAAGGGGCAGCGAAGACCTGACGGCCGGTGTGTGTGCAGAGCAGCACTGGGAACTTCCACCTGACTTAACCCTAGCGACAGTGCTACAGGGCAGCTCACTGCGCATTACCACGTCTACACAGGAGGAAGCTACGGATGCAGCGAGCAAACGTGTCTACAATCACACACGTAAAAGGGGCGGACTACAGGTTGCTGCCTGTCCCTTCCTGCCAACTCCGGAGACTGAACTGAGCCCACACGCGACAGACACGGTGGCTCAGAATTCTATGGCTGGGATTTAATCCAGCGCTTGCTCAAGTGTAACTAAAACTTTGGTTCCCAGGTAAAAACTCTGCTTTCTCTGAGAAACGAGATTCTGAGTTCCAGCTTCCATGTCGGCCCTGCGCGTGGTCATGGGCCTGCTTCCCACGCCGCAGACAGCACGGAGATGCCCGGGGAGGGGGAGGGGGGGTGCCTCCGCTGGGAGGCAGGGTCTGCCCAAGGAGCGAGCCCGCGTCTTCCACTTTGGTCACAAAAACGTACACGATTGACCACGCTCTCAAGTTTTTCCATTCATGAGAAGTTAGGTGTAATGCTCAATCAAAGCTCAAAATAAAGTCTATTCATTTAAAAAAAACAGTCTGTCAACAACAGCCTTTCCATTTCTCACCTGTAATATGGGACCGAAGGTGATGGTGCGCAGCTTTGAAACCTGTGCCGGCCACAGGAAAGGCACCCACGGCTGCCGCTCAGGACCCCTGACAGACTTCTTAATTTTCTTAAATAACAGAGTGACTGTTGGTTTGTTTGTTTATTTGTTTGTTTGTGTGTTTGTTTGGTTGTTTAAGCTGCCTTAATTTCTTGGTTTAGAAGTTTTCCCTAGGCTGATTTACATGGAAGAAATTGTCACATGAATTTGAGTTTGGTTTCTGCCCACTACCTTCCATTATGGAAATAATTGCCTCTGGAGATACAGATGCTAAATCCAACGCAGGCTGTTATCCGCAGCTGCCAGCGACAACACTCTCTCTCATGTTCTGCAAGCGGTAACAAGGCCTCCTGCGCGGCGGAGAGGGCGGATGAGAGGGTGGCGTGGAAACCTATTCCCGTAGGTGAGCTCCGGCACAGGGGCGACTTCTCACACAGGTGGGTCCCAGCCTGATCGGGGCTGTCCTCCCAGGTCCCCCTCAGAGAGCACACCGACCAGGAGTGCCAGGTCACCCATAGCCTCCTGGGCGCTGGGGGCCAGAGAAGGTTGGACGAGATGGACTGGAATGCACACCTGGCCCAGGTGGCTCTACCTCTGTCTCAGGTGTTGGCGACCTGCTGTGCGAGACTGTGGCTTCCCTGCGAATCAAAGAGGGACTCTTGTGTCCTTGGGCTGTTCCAGTCAGTTGCTATCTTTTAGTTGAAGGCTTTCCTCCCTCTGTTTATGGCGCGCTTAATGGCTTGGTCGTGGCCCACCGAACAGGTTCGTGTGTGGGGTGCCCCAGCTCCCCTCAGCGAGGAATGATGAAGGAAATAAGGGAAAATTTCTCAACTCGTGGATCTTAAGTCCCTAAGAGATGATTCTTGATTTTCCAACTTGCATCGGACAATGCAACGGAAGCGGCGCACGGGAGTGTTAAGGCCTCTCCTCTCGGGAGAGGGTGGCTGTCCCGAAACCCGCTGCTGAAACACCCTGCCCTGTTATACGCCCACCGTCTTCTTCACTGTTTAAGATTCAAACTCAACCCCCTTTGGAAACTTGAATCGAGAATAACTGGTTTGTGGACTCAAGGAGTTACAGAGAGGCCTTGGCCTACAATTGCTTAACATTTGTTTCCTTTGGTTCCAAAAAGAGGTTTAGCCACAGGTGTGTGGCCCCTGTGTTTACAAACGTGCAGACTGAGTTTTGTACGGTTAAAGGAGAGCAAGGTGGTGCTTTCCTCCTGTACTCTCAAGCGTGTGTGACGTCTTTCAAAAGCGAACAGCACAAGGAACTGCTCTTCATGCCTCAGATTTCTGGTTTGTGAGAGACACTAGCCTGGGTGTGATCTGGCGCGGGTGGGCACGCAGCCTGATGGTAAAGAGCTTCCCTAAAGGTCCAGGATGTGACTGGGGCCCAGGGCCACCCCCCTCCCGCCCCCCCCCGCCCCCCGCCCAAGCGAGTCCCCCACTTCCACCGCTCTCCTGAATCTCGGGCGCAGGCCCCGCTCTGTCCCCGGTCTGAGCCTTTGCAGCCAGAGGCACTCTGTACGGCAAAGACGGGAACCAGAATCAATCAGACAGTAAGCTCTTCCAATCATGGCTATTTTTAACACCTTGGCTGCCTCAAAAAGGAATGAAACCATAACTGCGTGAAAGGGAGCCAAGATGTTGCTTGACGCCTGCACTTGAGACCGCCCTTGTGCCTGCGTTAAGGGCGGGCGGCCTCCGGAGAGCGGAGACACTTTCCCCAAGCCGCAATGCCGAGTCAGAGCAGAAGATACACAAGGAGTGCCCTTAATGCAGGCAGGAGAGGTCCCCGTCACTTCGCTTTATTATTACCTGCCCCTGCTTTATGAATGACTGGCCCGTGACTGAGAGGAAAGACAAAGCTCAGCCTAGATTTCGCTTTTGCAACAATACCAAACCCTGAGGCATCTGGATCCTGTTTACATCTCTGAACCCTTAAACCCAACAACTATGCCCATTCTCCACAGTTATCTTAGGGTGGGTGTCAGGAAATGCGCAGCAATTGAACTAGACCACCCACAAAGCACCTGCACCCAGGAAGAGCAAGGGCGTATTGGTACTTAGGGTAAAAGGTTCGGGGGGCCGATGGCAATGCCAGTTCATGAAGTGGAGAGCCACTCGTCAGATGCTGTTAATGCTGAGCTGGTGCTGAGGGCTAATGCAGCTCGCATTGCTGGCACCCAGGCACCCTGGTATGCGGCGACACCGCTGCACTCTGATCAAATGCAAGGCCGGTCTCTGGCAGCTCACTGTTTGTTAGTTTGTCCAGGCACTTAACATTTTATCAGCACAGACCGCGGGAAGTTCGACAGCCTGCAGGGGAGAGCGGCGAAGGAAGCACCGGGGGGATCTAAAACCATTTCCCAGGAGAAGCTACCCGCCCCACACGAAGACAGACGTTTGTGCTGGCACGTGTTCATCCGGTGCCCGCTCAGGTGGATGAAAGTCGGCACGAGAGAAATGGTCTCCCCCGGGGGACCTGGAGCTGAACATCTCAGAACTGGAAGACGTGTGTATTTTTCTTTCATTCTGATCTGTAAGTGTGGAATTCAAAACATAAGTGTATTGCTTTTATTCAAAAGAGCCTTTCTTGAGTCCACATTACATGAAAGTACACTTATCTATTTATTTCTTTAATTTAGAATATTTCCTTTTGAAAATGCAATATGCATCCACAGACAGCTTTTAGGGCTTCAAATCGTGGCAGAACCACGTTTTTCAAAGTGCACTCCACAGAACACTCCTCCTGAGACTACTTCTTAGGGTCTTCTCTTGAAGTCACCGTGTGCGTGGCCAGCACGCGAGATGCTGGGGGCTGTGCAGCAGCACGATGCCTGAGCAAGCGCTTCCCACGCAGACCTGACTGCGGATACCCTGCCTGCCCCTCCCACGACCCACGGACTGAGTTTCATGAGATCCACCTAGAAAAACACTGCCTTGGAGTAATAATAATTTTGCATATAGCATCTGAAACTACGATGTTTTGGTTTAATATTTCCACAGCCAGGACATTTCAGTGGTATGTTTTGAGAATTATTTAATAACCTCAGGCTGAAACCAGGTGTGTTTTGACATGAGGTAGGCGTACTCTCCAATTAGACAGTTAACGCCAATACTGGATGCTTATGCAAACGAAAACCTCCGAATGCTATTTATTCAAAAGTCAACAATATTTACGAAATATTTATTATTTTTAGAGACAATAAGAGACTATAATTATCAGCTAATTTCCTCATTAAGCCCTAAACACTAGACTATTTAAAAATAAAACTGATGAAATTGACATTTATGCTTTATTTTCTATCACCTCTGTATGGGTATGCATGCTTGCCTTTTTTTTAAAAATCCTATCCTTTCTTTGTGCTTCCCTTGGCTCCTCCAAAACATACACACATTTTGACGACTTTGAAAGACAATACATATCCCAGAAGCAACAATTTCTGACAGGGGAAACGGGGCCAGTTACACTGAAATATGCTTCGAGTCGCAGAGTGACCACAGGGTTTTCACATACCTGCAGACAAACGGAACCCACTTAACACGCAGAATCCCTGGGATGACTACTTCCCCTGTGTGTTCCCGTGCTGCTTCTCTGCCCGTCACCCACAGAAACCGCAGAGCAGAGGGCAAGCTCTAGGTTTCATGGGAACTCCCAACATACTCCAGTTTACGTCGATCACTTGCTTCCAATGGTTATAATCTTTATTCATAGTACAAAAAAGTAGCTTTTTTTTTGTTTTCATTCTAGCGCATCTCTCAAATGGGTTCATGTGGTATCCTTGCAAAGAATAAAATTTTCTTGGAAGATAAAGACTCTTTATTTCATTCTATTTATATAGCACAGTGGAAGGAACATATTAAGTGTCTAATATATATCCGACCAATTAATGGCTTAGAGCAAAAGGAAAAGTACCGATAAAAAATATGCCAACAGGCTTGAAAAATATTTGTCAGTTTCTGAGTAGCTGAGGGAGGGATCAGCTGAACTGAAAGGACTCACTTCAGACACCGGAATTCTCTGTGTAGGTGACACGTGCTTAACTGAACACTAGCACAAAACCACACTCAACCAGGAACGATGAATGCCCCACCAATAACACACACAACACACTCTGAGGTTTGCACTGAATGCACTTTTCACGTTCGCATGTACAATGGGCATTACGATACTGCATCTCTGGGCTGAGAAGGAAACGAGGTGAGATGCAGAAGGTGTCGAGAACAGGGCGTTCAGCATCCACACTCTGAAGCTGGT